TGCACAAAGCAACAGCCGGGTTTTCAGCGTTGTTTTTAAGCTCGTATGCTTTTGCGATGAAATCCACTCAGGCTGCCCACTCTCAAGCCAGTCTCATGAAATAGATCACCATCCCCTGGCGTTTATGCTTATCGAACGGCGTTAGCCATCGTTTCAGAGCGATTTGGCAAGATGAGGGTTACCGTTGCTTTCCATCACATGGCAATCAGGCATTACCATTATGGAAGCATCGTTACTCATTCCACTTCTGTGCTCCCCGACGACTGACGGCCATCGGCCGACGGCATCGGCATCGGCATCGACATCGACATCGGCATCGGCGTTGGCATCGATGGGAGAAGTGCAAGCCCTAGCAATGAAGCGGCAGGAGCTGGATCAGGCCTGAATAACACCATCGAATCAGTGGGCGGTGCCCTGCCCTCGGTGCGCGCCGGTGACGGACCTCGCACACTGTAGCCCGTCGACGTCTCACGGGGGCAATTACTACCACGATGGCCTTACTCTGTTCTCGTCACGATACCACCATGGCGCCATCAGCTTGCCTGCTTCGGAGCCTGTCACAAGGTGACCGATCCATCACGTGCAGCCTCTGCCGGGTCCCGTCCCAAGATCCGCCCAGTCCTGTGCTCGTGCGCCGCTTTCCGGAGCCCGCGGTCAGCATCGTATAATTTGCGCAAAGTCCCGTCCTAAAATGGGCCACCGGCATGATGCCTTCCAACACGCTGCAATACGCCTGGGTCTCGAGGTCGACAACTCATGTCCATCTGGCGACATCTGAACATGCGCCGCTCTCTCCGAGGCCCGTCTCGGCGACGAGCTCTGCCCGCCCATCATCCAGCCTGTGAATGCCGTCAGCGCGGCGAACACGTCCTCTCACCTTAACGGCACAGGCACTCGGCGGCGCCGGCGAAGAGAGGGTGCCTAAATAGAAAAAAATCCGGCTTAGGTCGGAAGGTATATTTTTACCACACGTTTTTCCCATGTCTTTGTATTACACACGCATCCGGTCAGCGGCGGCGTGGGGAAGTCGTCCTGGCATCAAGTGCTCCGAATGGGCTGCGTGAAATGTAGGTGATTACGTCTTTCACGTTGCGCATTTAGCATAAAAAATAGACCATCCACGAAGTTCTGGGGATACTTCTTCAAAAACACGAAGTTCTTCAAAACCCTTCTTCTGAGCAATTTGAACAACGCAAACTTCCACAAAGTTATGCACACGGCAAGAGTTATGGTAAACGTTGAGACATTTTGCGCGGATAAACCTTCACGAAGGAGGGAACTCCGCCGTACATGTCAGAAAATACAGCGCCACGTATGACGCTTCCCCGGTGCACGAAACGTCAGGGCCGTAGGATTCCGCACACGGCCGGGGTTCGAATCCCTGGCGTGGCCCCTGGGGCTAATGTGACCATCAGCAGCGCCGAGCGGAGAGGCCTACGCAACAACGTGGGCTGACGTGTTCCTAAAACACGAGACGTATCTCCCGTGTCCCCAAAGCTGCAACTGGCTCGCGGTGTGACGTGGATGCCTTAACAGCGGGCAACTGCTCTGCGATTCTCGTCGCCGGCGGATCGTTGGTGCAAGTGCAATCTTCAGTTCAGTGCTAGTCAATCAGCGTGTGCAATCAACATTCGACCAGCAATCAATCAACAATTGGCCGTGTGCCGTGAGCTCGATTTCACTAATGCGCGCGGGCGTCCTCGCTACGATCCAAGGTGTATCAAACGGTCCGGAACTGGCTCACGCAACTTTTTGATGAGCCAAAGCATCGCCGATTTGATCAATGAGGCACTCATCATTAGTTAACGCGCGTTATCAATGAATTCTGCGAGACTACTTCAGATCCCTCCACACGCTACCCATCGCTAGCAACGCTTTACAAATTCGGCGCGTGAGTGGACTACCAATGATACATAAATCAACGCTAAATTGACGCCGGCGCATGCTCTGGTCGTCCCCCCAGGGTACGTCGCTCGGCGTGATTAACATCGCTAGCTTGTCCGGCCAGCAGTTTCCGAGAGCAAGTCGAAACAGGATCAAAGCGCGCTCCGGCGTTCTGCTCAGTCTCTTAGGAGTCCCGCCTTCGGTCGGTCCGCAGTCCACCGTGATCAAATGCCGGGAATCCCACCGCTCTGTCCAGGTCAGGTCACCGCGCCGTCGACCCAGCCGGGGTCAGCACCCTTCCCGCCGCGATCGACTGGCGCGGAGGCGCGCGGCCGCCGCCGCCGGCGCGGGCCCGCCCGCCCGCCGGAGGGGAGGGGACGGGGTAATTACGGGGGTGGCCGCGCTGCGGCGCCACCGCCGACTCAGCGCTGCCGACGCCTGCCGCTAATGGAGACGGATACGGCGCGCCAGCGTCGCCGTCGGATCGGCAGCGGGCCACCTCTGCCGTGCGTCCGCCGCCGTCCGTCGCCGCCCGACGGCTGATTTATGCCAGACGTTCCCCGGCAGCCGGGGATGGAAATGACAGCTCGGCGGCTCGCTCTTGGAAGGAGCAGCGGTTCGGGCGCTCCGCTGCCGTGCCGGGACGGGTCTGGGCGGATCTTGTCACTTACGAATGCCGGGGATTGATCTCACCGAAAGGGTCCCTTCTTTGTTTCTTCCTAAACGAGCAGAACAGTATGCGGCGACGCCCCGCTTATCCTGGCAGGCTACACGCACCAGCCATGAGTACGCCCGGGAGCCGCCGCCTGGTCGGGGCCTCTTCCTAGTGAGGCGCCTGTGCGGCCTTATTCTCGGCGGATGAACCCCAAGTGCGTGTGGTTCTACACCACCGCTATCCACTCTCCTTCATTCCATAGCCCTGAAATGGTCCTGACAGGCCGAAAGGGCTCTAATCCAAACAACCTAGCCTAAACGATGCAACACAAGAAACATTGCCTTGAATTCGGGTAACATTGCAACTCTATATACCTAAATCCACAAAGAGTATCACGAGTTTCATATGAATTAAGAGTACGAGTTAGAGACAACGGGAAATGAGTATCCGGTCGGCCAAACCCTCTTAAAGCTCAAATACCGTTTCTCAAGATGACACGAAAGTCATTTTTTTTCGGTAGTTTTGCGGGATGCAACCAGCCAAAAATATTAGAGTTACATCAGCGCTGATGGGAACAAAACGTAATTCAGAACATAATGAATAATACACCTGCACCACAGTCGAGACACGTTTTCAGAAATCCCATGAGGAGCAATTTCTGTCAAGCTGTTGCCATCCTTTTGCATCACCGTCAAAAATGATGAAGAGGATCAACTACGCTCAAGACAATAAGTGAACGACGTGGAGAGGCCGATTTAGCTGACAGCCGTCGGTGATATTCCGACCATGATGCATTTGTGTGGGCCCAACATTTGAATCACGCCGATATGTTTCCATATTTCAGAACTGCGTTTCCATGGGGACACTTTCGAGCATTCCTTACAATACTGGCATCCCCAGAGGTTAGTGTCTCAGCTGTAACTGCACTAAAGCTTTCGTTTCCTAGTCAGCGCACAAAGCCATTGGACGTTGGAAATCAAGTGCGGGATGTCAATATAAAGTCGCGTGGTGTCGCGCACGTTCGCGCAGCACTAGCGCTATGGCACATAGCCTCTAAAACCAAGTGAGAGCACCAACTCAGCGCGGTGATATGCCATGCGTAGCATCTATGTGAGCTGGCGTGTTACAGGTGTGACGCATGTGAACACATGTTTCCATTCGCCGGGTGAGAGGTGTTTTTCATCCGCTGGCGAAGCAAGGCTCTGGGGGCGACTAGTGACATTTTAAATCACCTTCCACAACACTGTTAGGTCCACAGCTAAACCCAGACGTTGTTTGAAGTTATGTAATTCAGATCACCTGCACCACCCTTTGGTGATAGCGTGGCCGCCATTTTAGCCGATATTTTAAGCCGACGCCTACGATTGAAACTAAAAAGGATGAAAGTGCGCAAGATATCATGTTATCTTTTCTTCGTATGATGTGAAAATGCCGAGTGATCATTTTTGAGACGTCTCCAGGGGTTCAAGAGGTCATTTCTAGGAAGACCATGCATTTTTCTTCATTACTGTGCATGTTTGAGACATGGCTCGGCATAGCTTACATGGTTGTCATTGGCTCATATCGATGACAAACAGGCGTTTGACATCTAAACGGATACAATGTCACTCAAAAGTTACCATCAGTCAAGGATGGACAGTAAAGTTCAAAATGCTTTGTCTTTGTAAGGAACACCTTGGTGCTTTAATGATAGTTATAAAATCTACCACAATGAAAATATTGCACCATGGCACCAACATACTGAGCACTGGCTGATCAAGAACTATCCGTAATTTGGGGAAAAGCAAGCTTAGATGCTTAGATACATATGAACATCATTGCGGATTCGTACACGTTTAGACAGATTTTGACATTGAAAAATAATAAATTTAATCCGTCTTTAAGGATGAAAGAATTTGAAATCCAGCTTAGATCGATATGCATTAAAATATTTCTCAGCTCGAGTCGAATGGCTCAGTATGCGCGTGGCCAGCAGGGCAGCTTTTAGCTCATTATCCAAGCTTCTCAATACACAATGGCTCGATTATTAAATTTGCGTTTTGCTACTGATGCCTGCATTTATAAATCCAAAACTTTCTGGTACCTGCCCAAGGACAGGAGCTGGATTGCGTTATCCATTCAGCTCCACAGTTTACTTTTCCATAGCAAACTTCAGGACCTTTGAAACGGCAAAGCGCAAAATGCTGATCTTTCAAACTTAAAAACCAACATCCCAGCACGGGAAGATACGAGTCAGGGAGTGGGAATCCACTCATATACTTATGCTCTTGAGGAACACGTAACTACAGAAGCACAGAAACACCAGCAATCATCACAGCTGTACATACTTCCGCATCTCACCATGCGTCGTTATCGCTAACGCGATTGAGGCAGCCTGCAGAGCCGCGCTGCCCCGCCACGCCTGCCATACAGCTGGGCGAAGGCCGCGAGCTGACCACAGCCGGGCGGGCCGCACACTCACGCCTGCGTCGTCGCCCGAAGAGCTGTACAGCTGGTCCATCAGCTTCTTAACCTCGGGGGATGTAGCAGTCGGAAGTAGTTGGTCCAGCCGCCGAGGCTCGGGCGACGCGCCGGTCCGGCCCCGCCACGTGCCGTCCGGCATGCAGTAGCGCCGCGCGAACTCTTGCAGACGACAGACGGTGGGTGCAGCTGAGGCTCGACCCTCGTCACACCAGGGGTCCATCGTCGTCGCCAGCCCAAGTCTGGTGCCCGCTGGCTTACGGGAGGCTTGCATGTATGCTTGTCCAACTTGAGGGCTGGACGAGGGATACGTGGCGACGGGACAGTACGACACATGACGACGGGGCAGGATGACTTGATCAAGTGCGACACTTTATGTAAAGCTTGAGGGTGGTACCCATAATTTACCAAAGTATGACCGAAGTGCTGCAACGAGTGAACTATGAAAACGTTTTTAGAGTTATAATAATGGTCAATGTCGGCACAGGCCAGTGACGAAAACGCGGCGAAGGGACAATGTAGGAGACTGTGCAAAGGCTGTTGCGCCGCAATATTCGTTCAGATCCCAAACAGCAAATGCATCCAGCGAAAAGAAAGCTGCTGTTCATGGATACACTAAGGCCGTTGAAAAGTACTAAGCGTAGACCCCATTACACGCGGAGAAGGACAGACGCCATTTTACGAGCTGTCGATTTCGCAGCACTGTCGCCAACTAAACACAAGACGTTTTCCTGCAAGCGTTTGATACCCATGCCGTGCCCCACGGCCGCTAAGTTTGCATTAAATATCTGGTAGACCATAGTCACCTGTACCACCTCCACAGGGAACAAATCGCCACCAGTGCATCAACATGCGCTGAAAGCGACTCTTAAACGAGCCGACTGCGGCGCACGTTATGATTAGATCATCATTCAGCTCAATATAAGGAGGGAAGACGTTCAGCTCATGGTTTCTCGGCATTATGAGCTGAAAGTTCTTATGTTTTGTGAAGGACTTTAAATTTACCAGGTCATATTAAAACGTTGTCGTAACGCTAAATAGTGATTTCATTGACAGTACTCAGGGTACCGTAGTGCCGTGGTGATCCTCAGAGTACTATCCATATAATCGCTCTTTAGTGTTATGACGTGTAACCTGTATTCAGGCATATTAAAGATCATTAACTCAACACACAACTTTTCACCCTCAATCGCTCAACTACCTAATAGCAGATTGCCTGCCGCGCAGATGTCCGTCCCACCATTTACCATCTTCTTGACACTCATGCATATGGCCACGCGAACGCTGCATGCACTCACCACACAGACAAATCCCCGGCAACGTCTCACGCTTTGTCACGCCCCCCCCCCCCCCGCATCCATCATGCCGTCATGACGTCACCGCGCTTACTGTTGGGGTCGACGCCCTTGAAGGGCGGACAAGGCAGCAGCAGCTGGGTGTCAGCTTCTGTCGGCGGCCAGCAGAGGATGCTGTCGTACGTGGCGTTGCACCAGCCGTCTGCCGACGCGGGAAGACGACCGTGAGCGAGGTCAAACACAGACGTCACCAGCTGCGGCTGGCTTGATCGCCGCCCTCCGCTGGCGAAGCCGGCAGCGAATAGGCATTCTGTCACACTTCCTCGGAATTCGAAGCGACGGACAGAGTCCTCAGAGTGCCGCCAGGAAATCATGCAATTCGGGAGGTCAATCGGCCGTGGTTGGTCCAGCTCAAGTGCGCCACGTACACAAATGTTCTCCGAGCCGATTACGGTAGAGTTTGGTCTTCTCGGGCAGGAGACGTCGACACAAGGAGAGTTGAAACGCTATATTTGGTAAGGGACTACGTGCATGCGTTAAGTTCGTGAGCTGCGAGGATGTCGTCTATAATAACTATCATAAGCCGAACAAAAACACTCGGTTAAGCAATGTACAATGTGCAGTGTGCAACAAAGCAGTGAACAGTGACGTTACTTAGAACGGAAAAATCGTCTGCCTGTCCAGGTTTTGACCCAACAATACAGCGTTGTTATTAAACAAAGTGAGAGCATGCCTGCGCCAGCATCGAATCGCCATTTCCACCCACACGAAAAACCGTGAACTGCGATCGGAAAACTCACGAGTGCACTACAACTGCATTGGAGCAGCAAAGCGCACAGCCAGCCACGCACTCGCGTGGTTACTGAGCGCGGTCCACCTGCCGTGACATGCCGGCGCACTCGCCACGCACTCGCGTGGTGCCTGAGCGTGGTCCACCTTCCGTGGCAGCCGGCGCACTCCCTGCGGAATCGCGCCGGTGATACGGTCGGGCGCTGTTTGCGTGCAGTGGACCCGCGACCGATACCGCTGCTAATGTAATGGCTTCGGTACTCCGCAGCTGCTGACGCTTGCAGTGTGCTGCCTCCGATACGACACGAGCACGCTTCCAAATGGATCGGATAGCCCCAGCGGCGGTTCGGTGAGGATGTTGGTAATAGTCCACGGACCAAGGTGGTGCGCTTCTGACGGCGCTGTGTTTGGACGTGCGCCACTGTCGGCGCTGTTTGCACGTGCGCTATTGTCGGCGCTGTGCTTCGACGTGCGCTACTGTCGGCGCTGTGTTTGGACGTACGCTTCTGTCAGCGTTGTTTGGACGTACGCTTCTGTCGGCACTGTGGTTGGACGTACGCTACTGTCGGCGCTGTGGTTGGACGTACGCTACTGTCGTCACTTTGTTTGGACGTGCGCTTCTGTCGGCGCTGCGCCTGGACATGCCCTACTGTCGGCGCTGTGTTTGGACGTGCGCTACTGTCGGCGCTGTGTTTGGACGTACGCCACTGTCGGCGCTATTTTTGGACGTACGCTTCTGTCAGCGCTGTGTTTGGACGTACGCTTCTGTCGGCACTGTGGTTGGGCGTACGCTACTGTCAGCGCTGTGTTTGGACGTACGCTTCTGTCGGCACTGTGGTTGGGCGTACGCTACTGTCGGCGCTGCGCCTGGACGTGCGCTGCAGTGAATGTCCATACTGCACTGCGCCGCTATGCGGACCGCAATGCCAGACGTGAGGCGACATCATGCGGGATGAAATTTCAGTGCAGGAAAGAGCGAATCCCTGCCGAGTTAATGCCAGCCCAAATCATCTGGAAATTCAAGTAGTCGGGTGTTCAATGAGACGACGAGCTGAATTGGATGTGTTGGTAAGTGGATAGGCGACGCAAATTACGCTCCCAGCATCCAATCCGTCTGCTTAGCGTTTGGAGTTATCATATTTCGCTTCGTTTTCAACGGGAGCTCGGAAAGATCCGAAGCTGACGTGGGTGCCGATATCGTATCCCTTTGAAGACGGATAAGTCGCGGGGGCTGACACCGCAATACGATAGACGCTTTCATCGCAGGCGGTTCGGTCGAAAGACAGACAATGCGACTAGCATATGGGCTCAACCGAGTTGATGCTGACAGGGAAATAGAGTGTTTCAGAACACAATACCGGCCGAAAAAGACAACTAACGCGCATCATATCAAGTGATGCTAGGCTTAACTGCCTCTACAGCTTATGCCGTCGCACAGGTCAGTTCAAAACCCGAGCATGTTCTGTTCACTGCAGCGTTGGCTTTTGCTGATGACTGGTGGATCTGTAAATGGTGGCAGCAAGACCATCTTAACTAGGTCTGACCATCTTAAAAAAACATGCAGCCAACGGAAGCCCCGTCCGCCGTCGTCCCGGTACCGACGACGCGGATCTCAGCTAAATTTGCACTTACATTTCCAGTGCTGTGCTTAAAGGTCCTGGCTTAAAACACGGGCGGCCTTCACGCCAAGTCACGCTTCTCCCAGCCCAGCAACCAGCACAATCGCTACGCGCCCGTCAAATCTGCGGTGAACGGTGTGTGCGCGTGTGTGTGCGTGTGTGTGTCATTGGGGCTTTACAACGCGACGAGCTGCTGGGGCTACATAGCGTCTCCTACCTCTCATCCTGGCAGGGAGGACGTGCGCCGCTGGGGACTGAACCCCGTGCCTCTGGTTCACCAGACACGCAGCTTAAACACTACACTATCGGCACTCCTATCTGCGACTCCACCAGGGCACCTGGTTGCACTGCCTGGCGCAGCTTAAACACCCCACTATCGGCACCCTTCGCGGTGATTCCGCCCGGACACCTGGTCGCTCTGCCCCGCGGTCTGAGCGGCGCGCGTGGCCAGCGCCTGCCTCCGACATGTTTATGTACGTCGCCCTCGGGGCAGATTTGTTGGATGCCGGCTGTTTTTCCAGCCTGCCCGACTCTGGCGCGGCCGGCCACAATGGATCGCGCAGCACGTCTAGCTACAATGGATCTTCTCTCCCCCTCCCCCTCCGCCCCGTGGCCCGCTGATCTATTGACGGCCTGCTCGGCCCCGGGCAGGAATCAACCCTGCGTAGGACCGCGGTCGCCGCTGGCCGCGTGACGGCCCGGGGATGCTGCCGTCGGCGGCGTCCACGTGAGGTGGCGGCGGCGGCGGCGGCGGCGGGGTGGACGGGTGCTTGTCGTGCGCTTGGCGTGACAGAATGGCGCGAGGGGGCTGACGTTTTCCGGAGATGTCAGTGATACGGCACGGCGGTGTGATACACCCGCATGAAGGAAGGCGCCTAGCCGTGACACAGCACGTCAAACCGTGCTGCGCGAGAACGGTCATTTCACTAGCTGCCATAAGTGTCTGATGGTTTCAGCCATGGTGTAGTGAATGCACAGCGTCTGGAGCCGGGCAGAAACGTTCTCCTTTTGTCTCCCCAGCCCCACGTATTTAAGTTTAGCTGCTTCACATGCGGATATTTGCCGCAGGCTGCCGGAGTTCGTGGGAGCTTGGCGGTAATACGCATGCAGCTACCTCACGAGGAACGCAGTGGCTGCCTGTCGCTGCTTCCACCTCCGCTGTCGGTCCTTGGACGTTCAGCCAGGCCATTGAGGCGTGTTTACACATCGGACCCTATGTCGCGCCAGTCCCCATTGCAACTAATGCTGCGTTTTCAACTAGAGCGGCCGGTCTGGCCAGGCTGTTGCACCATTTGCAAAGTTTTACTTTTGCAACCACTGTTACAAGCAGCTTTCAGCACCGCTGGGCA